AGAGGGGAGGGGAGGGGAGGGGGGATAGTAGAGGATAGGAAAGGCAGCAGAATACAACAGACACTAGTATGGCAATATGTAAATCAATGGATGTGTAACCGATGTGATTCTGCAATCTGTATATGGGGTAAAAATGGGAGTTCATAACCCACTTGAATCAAAGTGTGAAATACGATATATCAAGAACTATGTAATATTTTGAACAACCAACAATAAAAATTAAAAAAAAAAAAAGAAATATAAAAAACAAAAGCGAGCCAGGCATGGCAGTGCACTCACACCTGTAATCCCAGAGGCTCAAGACCAGTCTTAGCAGTTTAACAAGGCCCTACGCAACTTAATGAGAACCTGTCTCAAAATAAAAAAAACTTTAAAAAATGACTGAGGATGTAGCTCAGTGGTAAAGTGCTCCTGGGTTAAATCTCCAGTACCAAAATTAATAAACAAAGAAAACAAAAAGAGCATAAAAAAGCTTAATAAACTATAAAATGTCTTCATGGTATAAAAGATTTCGGAAGAAAGCCTTCCAGAATTTTTTCTTGTTTTCAAGAAGATTTTGCTCTATTGTTTCTTTGATAACAATAGATTATGCTGGGAAATCAGGGTAGGATTTGTTCACCTGACCTAACTGTGGCATAAGATCTTACAAAACAAGAATCTGTTACAGAGCACAAGGATCTGTAAGAAATCCTGGTCAATTTTATGGTTCTGTACTAATAAATGATAGAACTAGAGTATGTATGAATTTATAACTTCTTAGATTCACTTTGTACTGTGGTTACTTTAAAAATACCGGTGAGAACATTTATAATTTGTTACTTTTCGCTAAAATCTAAGGGACATACTGTGCACCTTCAAGATCTATGGGACACTTTTTTGCCCTGTGTCCTATCTTCTGTAGCAGTATACCACTTCTTCAGAGAATGGATTAGAAAGACATTTAAGCTTATTATATAGAAAGGTGTCATACCCTCACATCGAGGTACATAAGGAGAAAAATTCAAGAATTATAAATTCTTAGAAAACATAAAAGGTCCTTTGGGCACTGGCAAGGAAAATGTCAACAAGTCAAAAGATACTAGATAGCTATTGACCAGTTTCAGGAAGGCAAAGCTGCAAGCCAAGATGGAATAATGCTTTCCCACCATGTGTCTAAGGCTGCAAATGACACTAATCCTTTTTAATGGTCATAAAAGCTGACAACTTACTCAGCCTTAGAACTGAAGGCACAAAATCATCTCAGGGAATGACTCACCATAAACAGGTCATGAGCACCAATGTCAACAGCTAGGAGAAATGCCTTTTCAAATCTCTGGTACCTATGAGGAAGAAAAGAAAGGTATCTTAGTTGTGGAAAAAAAAATATAAAAGGAGAGAACTGTTTGTTTAATGTATTTATTCAGTATTGTTTTGATTCTTTATGGTGGAAAAAATATTTTCAAAGAGAAGGGATTTGGCCTGCTAGGATCTTCCATTTATGAAATGTTATTGTACTTAGGAGGAGCTGAGACACAGAGTCTGTGGAGGCCATAGATGTAGTTTCCAAGAAACACAAATTCAAGGACACATTGCTAAATATGGGAAATGACAGCTTGGAAAATACGTTTTCATAATTTTTAAAAAATATTTTATTTTTTAGTTGTAGTTGGACACAATACCTTATTTTATTTATTTTTATGTGGTGCTGAGGATTGAACCCAGGGTCCTGCACATGCTAGATGAGCGCTCTACTGCTGAGCCACAACCCCAGACCCATTTTCATAATTTTTACTTCAATGTATGTGGGCATGTGGGTGTGTGTTTTGTCACCAGGGATTGAACTCAGGGTACTTTACCACTGAGCCACATCTCTCAGCCCTTTTTTTATATTTTATTTAGAGACAGGGTCCCACTGAGTTGCTTAGGACCTCATTAAGTTGTTGAGGCTGGCTTTGAACTAGTGATCCTTCTGCCTCAGCCTCTCAAACTATGGGGATTATAGGCATGCATGCACCACTACACCTGACTTACTTCACTGTGCTGTATAAGAGAAAATTTGGGGGATATAGAGAACAAAGAAAGATAAGAGCAATTAGTCATATCATATTTTTGTGTTTTTTAAGTAAAAGTTGGGATATTAAATGTTGTTTTAGTCAAAAGCTTTATACTTGGAAAGAAATTCTAGGCTGTTATAAAATAGAACATAAATGTCTTCTGAATTTTTAAAACATATATTACTTTTCTATCCTTTTCCATAATCATACCTTTCCTGAAGTAAAATTTTGATAATTTTCTTTGTGAAAGTCTAATTCTAGGCAGATAAACAGGAGAACAACTCACAGTTTAATTATCTCCACAGAAAGTTTAAGATCTATAACAAAAATTATCTCATAAATGCATATATTGCATAGGTTTTCGGAATGAAAGGTGGTCTCTATTTTGTCCAAGTCCTAAGATTTATATATATGTAACTGTCAGTTTCTTTGACTATAGGAACAGAAGATACATAAGTTATTCTCTGTTCTCTATTATATATTGTAAAATACAGTAGTAGGAAAGATAATGAGATTTCAAATAAAAATAAGAAGTGTTGAATATTCATTATTATTAAACATATTTGTTGAATAAAATTCAATACTTATTAATATTATATATGAGCCATTAAGTCCAAAACCTGAAACAAGAGTTTTCCAAGTTATATTTGATGATCTTTCCCCATCTCCTCCTTGCTCATTCTTCCCAATACCTCCAGTATTTGCTTGAATGCTTCTCAACTGTTCAAGATCATGAGGAAATTACTTTTATTTTTGTGGATGAATAGTGTTTTACACCAGGAAGCTTACTGATTTATTATGTACTCAGGGGAGGTAAAATTTAGCAAGAAGAGGTCAAAGAATTAGCCAGCTGTGCTACTTGTTCATGCCTTCACTGCCATTTTGCATTGACCTCTACTGTAACTATTCTGGCAACAGTAATCACCCATCTTCAAATGATCAAACCTAAACATAAGTTCTGATCTTATGCGCCCTTTGGCCATATCTAATCCTATAAACTGCCCCTGTACTTCCTTGGCTTTTTCATTTCTTGGATGGAAATTTCTTAGTCTTCTTTTCTAGTTCACATTTCTATACCTCCCATTGAAATTGGTGTTCTACAGTCGTCTGTATTTCTACACACTACTCCAATCTCAATAGCCTTATTATTACTACCATGACTATGAAAACCAATTATATCAATGACACAGAACTCTTATCTCTAGGATCCATCTCTTTCTTGAGCTCCACACCCTTTGTTTTCATGCACCCTCTTTATTTTTATGATATAACATCTATATAAAATTTATGCTCTTAGTGAATCTTTATATATAATACAGTATTTTAAACAATAGAAACAATGCTGTATATCAGGTCTCTAGGACTTAGTCATCCTGCACATAGTAAATTTTATACTTTTTGATGCATTCCCTACTCTTCACCCCTAGGCCCAGCAGCAATCATTCTACTCCATGCTTCTATGAGTTTGACTATAGATTACTTATGTAAGTAGAATGATATGTAGTACTGGTCCTATTGTATGGCTTACTTTACATAGCATAACACCCTCTAGATTCATCCATGTTGTCAAAAGAAGGATCTCGATATATCTTTCCCTTTCTCTCCCCCAAACCTCGCCCCCCCCAAAGGTAAATGACATTCCATTGTCAGTAAATACCACACTTTCGTTGGCAAGTAAATCAGTTTTATTGATTATACTGCAATGTAATGAATGATGAAGATCACATTGGAACTTCAGAAGTATTTGATTTTTATCTTATTTAATTCTCTTAAGAAATTTGACTAATCTTCATGGAACTTCCTAATTCGCTTTGTAAATGAGCCTGGTACTGCGAATTTTAGAGATATTCATATGTTGTTTCTGTTCCAGTGTTTTTCAAAATTTTTGTTTCATTGTTTCCTTCTTTCCCCAAGGACCTTTCTCTTTAAAAAATAATTTTTTAAAAATATGAACTCTCCAACTTTTCAAATGTTGGCTAATAAAACAGTTTTGGTACCCTTTGACCAACATCATTTTCCCCTACTTTTTGGCCCCTGGTGACAATCATTCTACTCTTTATTGATTTTTTTGGTTTCACAGGTAGGTGAGATCATACTCTTTCTGTGTCTCACTTATTTCACTTAGCATAATGCTCTACAAGTTCATCCATGTTGCAAATGGCAAGCTTGTTTTCTTATTAAAGGCCGAATGATACTACATATTTTACAAATTTTCCTTATTCATTCATTATCAATTAGATTGTTTTCCCATTCTGGCTATAATAATGTCTTTTCAAGATAGTGATTTCCTTTGGACTTATATCCAGAAGTACAATACTGGAATATAAGGTAGTTTTATTTCTAATTTTTCAAAGAACTATCATATATTTTTCTACACTGGCTACAATAATTTACATTCCCACATGAAATGTACTTTTCTAAATTCTTGCCAACTCCTGTTATTGTTTGAGTTTTTGATAAGAGACCTCCTAATAGGCTTGAGGCAATATCTCACTGTGGTTTCAATTTGCCTTTCCCTAATGATTAGTGATATTAAGCACCCTTTCAAATACCTGTTGGCTATTTGTATATCTTCTTTGGAAGAATGTCTATTCAAGTCATTTGTCCATTATTTTTTTCTTGGTGGGACTATCGGGTTATAATGAGTTCTATTTATATTTTGGATATTAACCCCTTATAAAATATAATGGTTTGCAAATATTTTCTCCATTTAATAAGCTGCCTTCTCATTTTGTTGGCTATTTACATTGCAGTACAAAAACTTTTTGTTTTGATGTAGTCCCATTTAATTTTTTTTACTTTTGTTTCCTGTTCTTTGATGTCAAATCTATTGCCAAAACCAATGTCAAGGAGATTTACCTATTGGCTGTATTCTAGAGTTTGACAGTATCAGGTTTTATATCTAAGTCTTTAACCCAGTTTGAGTTGACTTTTTTGTACAGTATAAGAATCCAACTTCATTCTCTTGTATGGGGACATCCAGTTTCCCCAATATTTACTATAGAGACTATCCTTTCCCAATTATGTATTCTGGGCATCTTTATTGAAAATTAGTTGATTGTGTATGTATGTGTGGATTTACTTCTGGGCTTTCAATTCTGACCTATAGGTTCATGTGTCTGTTTTTATACCAGTATCATTCTATTTTTATTATTTTGCCTTTGTAATATAATTTAAAACCAGCAAGTAAGATGCCTCTAGCTTGTTTTCTTTTTCAAGGTGGCTTTAGCCATTTGGAATCTTTCTGGTTTCACAAGAAATTTTAGGATTATTTTTGTTGTTGTTGTTGCTGTGAAAAATGCTATTAAGTTTTTAATAGGGATTACACTGAATGTCTCTATCTGTTGTTAACCTAACCTTGCACATAGCTAGACAAGTACTTTACCTCTGAACTATACCCCTAGGCTCTTTCAAAATGATGAAATGTTTTTGCCTTGAAGCTTAGAGGATACTTTATCTTGAAAGTCTATTTTACTAGGATATTTTCTGGAACTGTGGGCTCTTTGAATATGTAAATTTAAGTCATTTATTCCAGGAAAGATATATCGAATGCTTTTACCACCTATAGAGGTACAATTTATTTACAATAAGATTCATTCATTTTAAGTAACTAGTCCAAGGAGTTTAAACAAATGTTTATTGGAACATTACCCTAACCATAATCAAGATACATAAGTATTTTCCATCACCTCCCAAAGCTTCTATGTTCCTTTTATATGCAGCTGACAGCTGGACAATGGTGATCATAAGAATGCATTTCTCAGATTACTAACTTCAGGGAACAAAGCAGTCCAATGGCCCTCACATTTGTGATCTGAAATTCACTTCTACATCTGCATTGAGGATATATTTCCCACATAGGCTGCTTCCAGCCAGTGAATGGAGGAGTAAAAATTCTAAGGCAGTTCCATTCCTGTAAAACACAGAACTGTCTCATCATTGTTCTCAGCCCAGCCTTGTGGATAGTTTATTATTCACCTAAAGATTTAAGGTGATACATATAGATTTCTGGAGTTGTTTCTCTGCATAATACCTCCAGTACACAAACCCACAAATTTCAGCTGCCACAGCTTCCCCGAACTCTGACTAACTTAACAAATTGATCTCTCTGTGTGAGTTCCCTTTCCTTGTTGTCTAGTCTAAAAAGTACCTTCCATCAGAAAACTGGAAGATTAAAGGTCGAGTTCTTTTGTTTTTCACTCTCAGGTATCAGAATCCAATTAAGGATTAGATATTTGGTATCCCCCAAAACATCATGTGTAAGACAACTCAAAAGTTTTCAGAGA